GTTAAATACAATAACTCAGCAAACTAAAGGAAAAGAAATACAAATAATTCAGCAAAACAGACCATTAGCAAACAAATTCATAGGAACCAGAAAAAAAAAACCTTTCTATAATAACCTTAAATGTAAACAATCTCAACTCATGACTAAAAAGACAAAGATTAAAGGACTGGATTTGAAAACAAGAACCAGCTGGGTATAGTACTCAACTTTAGTCCCAGCAGAGGCAGCCAGTTATGTGTATATTGAGGCCAGTCTGGTATACATAGTGAGTTCCAGGCCATCTGGGGCTACAGGGATTCCCTGTCTCAAAAAAAAAAATGAAAATCAACTATAAGCTGTCTCCAAGAAACATACCTGGCCATCAAAGATGCCAAAATACTACCTAGCAAATGAAAAATGTTAAAAAAGCAGGCACAGCTATTTTTATATCAGATAAAGTAAACTTCACACCAAAACTAAGTAGAAGTAACAAAAGGACACTACATACTAAAAAGGGAACAACTCATCAAGAAGATATAACAACAGTAAACATTTATGCACCAAATATTGGAGCCCCTAATTTTATAAAACAAACACCAAAAGCCATACAAAGCCATATATGTCCTGACACAATAATAGTGGGGAATTTCAACACCCCACTCTCATTTGTAGAAAGAAGTTCCAAACTAAAAACAAGTTTAAAAAATTAGAATTAAAATACACTATCAAGCAACTTGATTTAATTGGGATATAGAGAATATTAAACCCAAAAGATAGGGAGTACACATTTTTCTCAGCAGCACATAGAACCTTTTCCAAAATCGTATCATAGAACACAAGGCAAATCTCAATAAATACAAAATAATTTGAGATAATTACTTGCACCTTATCAGACCACAATGGAATAAAAGTAGAAATTGATTAAAGAAACCACAAAAATACATGGAATACATTAAAAATAATGGTACATTTTTAACCAACAATGATCATCCAAGAAATCAGAGGTGAAATTTAAAGTTTCCTCCAGATAAATGATAATGAGAACACAACCTATCAAAATCTCTGGGATGTAGCCAAGGCAACCCTAAAAGGAAAGCTTATAGCAATAAACACATTTTTTTAATCTGAGAGATAGCAAATAAACAATCTAATGATGCACCTCAAAGCTGTTGAGAAACAGCAAGCAACCAATCCCAATCCCTATAGATAGCAAGAAATAATAAAGATTAGGGAAGAAATTAATGAAATAGAGACAAAAAGAATAATACATAAAAATCAACCAAACAAAGAGCTGGTTATTTGAAAAATTAAACAAGCTAGACAAGCCCTTAGCCAATCTGACAAAGAAAGAGGGAAAAGACAGAAATTAACAAAATTAGAGATCAAAAGGGTGTCAGTACAACAGACTTCCATGAAATGCAGAACATTATTACAGATTACTTTATAAATCTGTTCTCTAAAAAGCTAGAAACCTAGAAGAAATAGAATAGTTTCTAAATGTATATCATTTACCAAAATTAAAATCAGAATATAGAAATAGCTTAAACAGATCCATTACAAGTAACAAGATAGAAGCTGTAATCAAGACTCCTTTCAAAGAAAAGCTCAGTATGGCCTATAGACAGTTGTCTAATAGGACTTAAGGCCTGCTCAGTGAGAGGTAACTCAAGCATGGTACTGTAAACATACCCAAATACATATGACTAGAAAAGGCAAAGACCATAGAGAAAACCCTACTTTTGTCATAGCCCTAAACCAATATAATTTCTAAATACAATGTATTATAAATATGTCTCCTTATATTTACAGACACGTATACCTCTCATCACTCATCAAAGAAGCTTCTTTTTTTGTAACAGATGGAGATTATTACAAAGTTCCACAACTGGTCAAACACAGAGAATAAGTGTCTGTGAGGTGTCCAACCCTAAGTGACACATCTACAATCCAACCTCTACACTAAGGCTCAGGGGATACAGCAGAATAGGGGGCAGAAAGAGTATTAATGCACCTGTCAGTTCTCTCTAGAGAAGCTTCCACATGCAATAGATGGTGATTAACTCAGAAAGCCACAGCTGGTCAACGTGCAGAGAAGTGGAGACTGCAGAGTGCTTGTCCCTAAATAGGACACCTGTATCAAACTTCTGGCACCTAAGGCTCAGGGACCATTGCAAAAGAGGGAGTGGAAAGATTGTAAGAGCCAGCGGCGATGGGTGACCACAAGGAAACAGAGTTTTCCATATAGTTGGAAAGTTACTCATATGACTTACAGCAATGGTAACAACATGCCCAAGATCCATACATGCTCAAGCCAGACAAAATCCCAGCATACAAGTGGGGAAGTGGGGACGAAGTCCCAACCTTAGCTGAGGAACTATTAGCAACTGATAGCTGCTGAGAGAAAGAGACTTGGTTTTATTTAAGGGAGTGATAGTCTAACCAGGCTCCAGTGAATGGACTCACACTGAAGGACATTTGGGGACACAAACTTGACTCAGTAAGTCTTAACATATATCACAGAGAATATTAAATCCAGTGAGGGGGCTTTAAGAGAGGCTTTTTTGCAGATGGGGAAGAGGTCTAAATATGATTAATATATATTGTATGAAATTCACAAAAAAAAAAATTTTAAAGCCCAGGACTGAACAGCTTTACTGCTGAATTCTATCAGTTGTTCATCAATGCCAAAAAGGCATTTGACAAAGTTCTATATGCCTCATGATAAAAAGCCTCACAAAGCTTAGAAATAGACATAACATAAATGAAAATAATAAATGCTATATACAACAAACATAGAGCCAACATTACTTTAAGCACAGACACACTGAGAGCATTTCCTGTAAAATCGGGAATGAAACAAGGACATTCATTCTTGTCTTTCTTATTTAATTTAATATAGGCTTGAAGTCCTACCTATGGCAATACAGGGGATAAAAACAGCAGTGAAAGACGTCAAACTGCCCTTATTTGCGATGCCACGATTCTGTACTTAAAAGACCCTAGAGAATCTACTGGAAAACTCCTATCTCTAATAAACACGGGAAAGGTGCAGGACACAAAAATCAGCATTTTTTTTAGAAAAAAAGCAGTAGCCTTCTTATATACCAATAATACACTCTCAGAGAGAAAAATGAAGAAAATGTTCCATTTAAAAAAGCAACCCCTCTCCCAAACTAAGTGCTTAGAAATACATCCAAACCAGATCTTAAAAAACTCTACAATGAAAACTTCAAGACACTGTAAAAAGAAATCAAAGAAGATACTACCATATGAGCCAGCTGTCTTACTCCTGGGTATACCCAGAGAACCTCATATCCTTCTATAGAGATATTTGCTGCTCCATATTTGTTGCTGCTTTATTCACTATAGCAAGGAAATGGAAAGAACCTAGTTATCCTTCAACAGATGACTGAATAATGAAACTCTGGGGCATATATAAAGTGGAATATTATTCTGCTCTTAAGAAAAATGAAATCACAAAATTCACAGGAAAATGGATGAATCTAGAATGTATAATATTAAATAGGTCACCCAATCTCAGCAAAAATCTGCATGCTTTCCCTCAGCCTGGTCTATAATATATACACGGATATATGTAAACAAAAAAGGAAAATAAAAAAGAGTAACTTTTTAAACAAAAAAGCAGCATAGCTTTGTTTTTATTTTCATGGTGGATATGTGAATTTAACTACTTTAATTTCTGCATTCCATAAGAATACAATATGTATTATTCCTTTGAGGCAGTGATTGTGAAAGTTGTGCTTTCTTTTTAGTTCTATTGTATGTCTAATTAAAAATAAAGCAGATCTTTAAAATATATGTTAAAGATTTGAAATTTTCTCTAGGCACAGGAAATATTGAGAGTTAGATTGTGAGAATATTTTTTCAACTGATTCAATTTGAGATGCAATAAAAAAAAGCACTTAGGACTCAGAAGAAGAGTATCATTTTCCTAACAGAATTAAATTACTTTTAATCTGTTTCCTAGGAAACCTTTGCTAGAAATAGTCAAGCTACCAGCACTGAGCTAACACAGCTCTCTGTTTCTGCATTTCTTAGGAATCACCTGTTTCTACTCTGTGTTACCATAATTACTGTGTTTGTTTGCTTTTTCTTTCTTCTAACAGCGAGTTTCTTTAAGGCTAGAAATTGTGTCTTATTCATTTTTATTGTCTACCCATTGTCATCTTAGCAAGGACGGGTCTTAAACCTTTTATGAATGAACAAACAAATGAGTGAATTAATGAAAGAGAAGGAAACTGCTGGTGGCAGGAATGTGTCTAACTTCCTGCTCCTTCCCCAATATAATGTCTTGCCCAGCACTGACATTCATATGTGTCTGGTGAGTGAGAAAATGAAGTTCATAATCTGGAACAAAGTGGTAGCTGGAACAGCAAAGGCAGAGCAAGGCCTCCTCCCTGTGTTTCTGCTGGCTCGTCCTTGCTCTTGGCAACACTAGTTGTGGACTAAAGAAATAAAGGAATTTGCTGGGTGTGGTGGCGCACGCCTTTGATCCCAGCACCCTGGAGGCAGAGACAGGTTGATCTCTGTGAGTTCAAGGCCAGCCTGGGGTACATAGTGAGTTCCAGGACAGCTGGGGCTACAGGGAGACCCTGTCTCCAAAACACAAGCCCATGGGGCTGGGGGCCTGGAGGGTTATTTACATTCATACCATAACATGATGATCCAATGAGTCCTGGCTTCCAGACAGGAGATAGGTCACCAAAAGGGCCCATGGCAGGTGTGTACTAGAAGGAGGGTTTTGACCCTAAGCAGTCACACTCCAAGCCTGTGCCTGTAACCTCTCTATAATTAAAAAATTTTTAAAAATTAAAAAATTAATTAATTAATTAATTAAAAGTTTTGAGAGACTAAAACTAATTCACTCTGTGATACCATGATTAAGAAGAAAGTACAATTAGTTAACATATACTAATGAAAAAGAATATGTGTTCTAAACTCAAACTGTGTGGGTTCCGACTTTTATTCCATCGATTAGCGACTTTGCAATCTTAAGGGCCATGCATGACCTTTCTGAGCCTCCAGTAGAAACAACTCTGATGATTACTCATCTAGAAGCAGGTAAGAGCACAGTCTGGCACAGCACACAGTAAACGATACCACAATTTCTCTAAAGAGTAAAGAAAACCAAGTGTGGTAGCACATCCCTTTAATCTCAGCACTCAGGAGGCAGACGTGGGTGGATCTCTGTGAGAGCAAGGCCAGACAGATGTATATATTGCTTTTATACATATACGTATATGTATATACATACATACATACATACATACATACATACATACATACATATAGTGAGTTCGAGATCAGCTGGGAGACAGAGAGATCCTGTCTCCAAAAAAGAGGTAAAGAAAATGTTTTCTTAACATTAGATCTAATCTTTATGAGCCCTGGTCCTGTTGTGTGTCAAGAACAACATTTTCAATACGTATCAATTGCACCTTTGATCCTTCCAGTCCACACGGTCTTAGAAAGAAGACCCAGTCCTGACAACATAGATTCTTAGCCTATCATACTTCTTCTCTTGCCTTACTCCAAGATTGCATCTGGGAAGCTCACAGGATGGAGTTAGGACTCCTGGGATCTCTGTTCAGAGACACCTATCTACTCTGGTCCTTAACTGGTGACATTTGATGTGTGCCTGGCCTGCCTGGCCTTCGTAATGTTGGCTCCCAGGCCTAGAGACTGTGGTCCCTGCTTCTCAGTCTCCATGACTTCTTTCATAAATTCAGACCACTCCTGGTCAGCAAACCCTTACATCATCTCTGCTTTCCCTCCTTTGTATGTGGAATATGTGGGAACTTCTGAACTCCCACTTGCTGTAGACAGGAGACTTGTTTCGGGCCTACCTGAGTGAGTTGTCTATTAGAAGGATGGGGAGGGCCAGGTGTGCTATATATCTGTAATCCCAACACTTGGGAGGCTAGTCAGGAGGGTCTTGAATTTGAGGCTAGCCTAGCAACATAGCAGGAGCCCGTCTTAACAATAACAACAGCAAAAGCTGAAGAGGACCCACACGTCCACAGGATCAGGAGCAGCGTACAGCTTACAGGAATGGTATCCAGAACCACAGAACTGGCCTGAAAAGGAAAAGAAATCAGTAGCTGCTACTGATCTTCCTGTTCCTGATCCATCAGTGCCAGCAACACTGTGAAGTGTGAAGTTCTTTGTGTGCTTCTGCGCTAGAATCCCTGCCTGTGTCTGATTTGATGAGTACAGGTCATAAGCCAGTGGTTCTACATGCAAGAGAAGCTGAGCTTTGAGATTTCTATGTTCTAAAACTTAATGGTGGGACTAGAAACTCACAACATTCAGCAAGGGTATTCAAAATGGGCTGGGTGGGGGCTGAGGAGATGGCACCGTGGGCTAAGAGTGCTGACTATGTAAGCTTGAGGACCTGAGTTTGAATCTCCAAAACCCATGTGAAAAAGCAGGATATGCCTGTAACCCCAGTGCTTGGGAGTGGGAGTGTTTACAGAGACAGGAAGATCCTAAGAGCTTGCTGGCCAACCAGACTGGCCTAAATGGTGAGGTTCAGATTCAGTGAGTTGAGATGCTGTCCCAAGGCAGTAAGGTGGAGAGTGTTAGAGCAGGGTACCTGGTGTCCTCCTCTGGCCTCTGCAAGCACACACATGCGTACATCTACCCCACATGCATATATTACACACCACCCACGTACCCACAATAAAATTTAACTTTAATTTTAAAACAAAGACTAGGTAGCTAGACAACCTGACATTTCATGGAGCCAAAGCCCTTTTTTCATTTTATTACAAAACTTTTCCAACATACAGAAAAGTTAGAATTTTATAGTGAACACCATATGCCACCACCTAAGATTCCACCATTAACATTTCACTGTACCTGTCTCATCCGCCTATCCAATCATTCAATTATCATATTATTTTATTTTATTTCATAGGTTCATTTTGACATGCTGTCAGGAACTAGAATCTGAATTTTGCATTCAGCGTTTTTTCTTGGTTATTAAATTTACACTGAATGAAATATACAAATCTCTCTTTTTTTTACATGTATTTATTTTGTATGTGTGGAATACATGAGCCAACTCGAACCAAGAAGATCTAGAATCAGATGGCATCTAGCTATTGATAGAAAAGATGCCATCGACATTTACCTTCCAGTAGGCTCTCACTTTAGAGGGCCTTTAGAGGGTACAGGAAAATCTTTGTTGAATGAATTTTGGAAAGAATGAAAAAATGGAAGTTGGATGAATTGGTGAACAAGAAGTTCATAAGGAAGAGACTCGAGCATCCAAAGCAAAACCAAAATGTTTAATACCTACATAACGGCTTGAGGTTCACAGTAACATTAAACAGAGATGGGTGATCCAGCAATGCCTGGACACCGGGGATGGGACAAAGCTGCGTCTCTACTCCTGATTTCCCCTTGATTTTTGACGCACACACAATGGGCAAGAACAAGGTCTGCTGAGGGTGCTACAAGGGGATCTTGCCTTCTGGGTGGATGAACACTTCTTTCTCAGTCTGTCACCCAATCATTTCTCAATCACTCAATCATTGTCTCAATCACCTAATCATTGCTCTCAGGATGAGATGATACAGAGATGAATTAAGGCTTGTAGTCTTTTATTAGTGCCCATGATTTCATCCAGAGTGGGAGAGATCAGTATCACATTCATTTTACAGCTGGTTTAACAAAGACCCAGAAAGGAGAACAGACAGCATGCCACCAGACCAATCCAGATCCAGCTGTGATGTGTTCTCTGACTCACTCTCTTGTGAGGATGAGTCCCCAAGATGATATAGGTGACTCCTGGCCTGAGTACACAGATCCTACTGCAATTTAACTACTCAGACCCTGGAGTCTGCCCATGGGCAACAGCAGCCTCGTGGCTGCTAGAGCCATGGGGCTTGGAAATAGAGTTCACAGCACCATTGACGACTCAGGTGCCCCTTCAGGACATAATGCCTTGGATTTTTTCTGGTGCTCATGACCTCATCTTTAGCCTTAGCCTTTATCCCCTGTGATTTGTGTCAGTGTGAGGCTTTGCAGGGACAAAACTAGAGTCCCAAAGGGGAACCAAGGCCAGAAGCTCTCAGATACGATACCCTAAAAAATTAAGGGGACTGGAGGGATGACTCGGGTTAAGAACACTTGCTGATTTTTTGAGAACCCAGATTATGTTCCCAGCATCCATACGACAGCTCACAACCACATGTAACTCCAGTTCCAGGGGATCCAGTACCTTTTTACTCTCTTCCGTGGGCACCAGGCACAGACGTGGTGAACATACATATAGGCAAGCAAAATACTCTTATTTAAGTAGGTTATATCTACAGATATTTACCAATTTAGAAATTAACACTGAAAAACTTACAAACACTTGTTCATTTACGCCCCTGGAGCTAAGGATGTAGCTCAGTGGTAGAGTGCTCGCTTAAAAATAATGAGCCCGCTGCATCTCAGCATAAAGTATTGCTAAGAGGAGTGCTACTTATGTTCTGGAATTTGTTTGCTTTCTTTGGGATTTTTGTCTTATCGGAGGAATTGTTTTGGTTTTTGTTTTTTGCATTCTCTTTAAATGGAAGGCTTAATTGAGAACAGCTGAATTCTCCTAAGAGGCTTCTCCATTTTTTGCAGTATCACAAATCATGTAGTCACTAGAAAATTCCAATCGTGAATAAGATGAGGGGGAAAGGCAAACAAGCACCTCAGTTGTATCACAAAATTTCTTAAAGAACATGGATCTTCCTCTGAGGACCACAGTTTCCCAAAACTTAATACATGTATGAATCACCTTAGGAATTGCTCTGATGAAGAGTTTGGCTTAGCGGTTATATCAGACAACTTTCTGTTACTGTAACAAATACCTTAGATAATCAACTTTAACATGAAAGGGTTATTCTGGTTCATTGTTTGAGAGGCTTCAGTCCATGGTTAGTTGACTCCATTGCTTTGGGCCTCTTATAAGGCAGAACATCACGCAGGAACGCACAGCAGAACAAGACCAGGCAACTCATGGCTAGGACTTGAAAGTAAAGAAGATGAGCTGGGTCCCATCCCCTCCAAGGAGCACGGTGACCATCCACTAGGCCCCACCTCTCTACCATCTCCCAGTAGTGGGGGAGAGCTGGGTTCTAAGCCTTTAATACATGGACATATGGAGGACAGTCACGATCCAAACTACAGCAAGAGGTCTGGCGTTGGCCTGGAGTCTACGTGTGGAGTCTGATATGGAAACTGTTGGTTCAAGGACTCTTGGATTCAAAGCCCTGACTCTGACACCCTGAGACAGAACTACATAGATGTACTGAGCCCTGGAAATTATATAATCAAAACAACAGTAAACTTGGAAGTAAGGAAACTCAAGAAAATTCTTAGTTTCCCTAAGTGATCTTTTAAAATGGTTTCTTAAATATTTTTATTAACTCTTCGAGAACGTCATACAATGTCCTTTGATCCTCCTCCCAACTCCTTCCAGCTCCACCCTCACCTCCCTACTCACCCTACTTCATGTTTTTTCCCCACATGGAGTCTAATATGTAGTGCCTAAATACTCAGGTATGGAACCTGCTCTAGATTGTGGTCAACCTACCAGGGGCCACACCCTTAAAGAAAACTGGCTCTTCCTCTTCCAGCAGCTACCAAATCTGAATAACTCCCTGGCTAAGGGTGGGAGCTTTTGCCTACTTCCCCAACCCCCATGCTGGGATTTTTGTCTGGCTTGAACTTGAGTGGGTCTGTGCATGCTGTCACAACTGCATTGAGTTCATATGTCCAGTTGCCCTGCTGTCTGCTGGGTGCTCACATTTTGCTGATATCTTAAGCATGTGAAGAACCCATCACTAATCCAAGGTGAGGGACCTGCAGAGGCCCCTGCTGCTTTGCTCCCTCGAGAGAGAAGCACCTCTTGCTTCCTTCACTGCCCATCAAGAGGCCCTTGTTTCTTTCAACTCTCCTTAAAAAGCCAGGGGACTTTTGCACAACTTCCTCTCTATGGGACCTAGTTTGGTTGCTGGGAGTGAATGGGAGGACCACCTGGTATGAAGCCCTCACACCAGCCTCTGTCAACTGTAAGA